GCGCAATTCATGTTCTGCATTGTCTTCAAGTTGAAGATTAACTATTTAGTGATTATAGTTTTTGAAAATTAAAAGTCGTATTGAATGTTAATCAATGTAAAATATCATGTGACATAACGAAATACAAGTTTTTAAAAATTTTCCGTCAAATTCAGGTGATTAATTTTTCTACCTGGGATAATGAGTATTATTGTCAATTAATCCTACTATGTAAGAGTATGAGTGCGAGACATCCTAGCTAGTCAGTCCCGCAACAAAACAAAAATGACTTTAGTAATATAATTCATTGTCTTCCTTGTGCCCTAGAGAAAAATTTTTTTTTATTAACATTTCAGTGCTTGATAACTACATTAGATTTTGATAACTCCATTAAGGGAGAAACTCTCATAGTGTTTATTTTTCCATTCACAAGATTTGAATTTGAAATTTTATTTAAGAAAATCGAATTCCTTTCACTCAAATCAACAGGTTATTGGTTTTAGAGAAACCCTTTGCTACGTAGCAAATTAAGGTCTAAATGTCACCGGTCATGAGTGTAGCTTTCATCCATTTTTCCACGGTCAAGTACGTTAAATCACAAGTAACCGGGTTCACAATATTACTAGTAGAGTAATATATGGGGGAATCATTTGTGTACATATTTAGTTGTAATTTGTAAATATATTAACTGTTTTAAAGGAAAGTACAGTGTGTAATTGATTGTTGTAAAAGTTCTAACAATGAGATCAATTCATTTTTTTCTACTGTCAAATTTCGGTTTGGACTGTTTGAACTAAATTAATTTTGTTTATTTGAAAATTTTTTATATGAGAGTTTCATATCAAATCCTAATTGAATATTTAATTTGATTATAATTTTAGATAATCAAAATTATTTAGATAATTCAGATAATTCAGTTAATTAAATAAAATAATTAAAATTTTTATGTACCAATATTAATGTATTATGATTCTTCAATGCTATTAGTCATTAAAAGCCTTTTCTTTTTTAATTTTTAATATTTTTTAAGATTATTGTCTATAAGTTTGACAAAAAAAATTGTATCCAAAAAAATATAATTATTTTATATTAAAAATTTTCAGATAATTTAATAAGTCACATCACGAATTTCAAATATAAGTCAATAACTATATTTAAATCAAAATAATTTTAGTTACTTTAATTTTATTCGACTTTTTCTAAATATTTGAATTATTTGAACTAAAATTCAAAAATTTAGTCAAAAATTGAAATATTTCTATAATATCCAAAATGTGCCCACCCGTTGTTTTCCATACAGATTGACTAAACATAACATACAACATGGCCGACATTTGTCCTTTTCATGTCTACATTAACTATTTAGTGATTTTATGGTTTTTCAAAGTTAAAAGTCACATAAACTATTAATCACAACCAATAAAAAAATATCTTATGACACAACGGAACGTAAATCCTTAAAAATTTTATTTCAAATTAACTCCCTTGATTCATTTTTCTACCAGGGAAATACAATAGTCTTTGTGTCTGAATGAATGGGGTTTAGATGTTTTTGACTTCACCCCAAAGTTATTGTCAATCCTACTATACAAGACTCGAGTATGAGTGCATGACTCCGGGTCAGTCCAGCAAACATAACCCAAATGACTGTTAAAATAATTCCTCGTCTTCCTTTTGTGGCGTGCCTTAGAGAAACCCTTTTGGTACGCAGCAAATTAAGATTTATACGTTACCGGTCCTAAGTGTGGCTTTCATCCATTTTCCCACGGTGAAATGCATTGGATTACAAGTAACAGGTTCACAAAAGTAGAAAATAATGTATGAATGGGAGAGAATTAATGATGTACATTTAGGGGTACATTTATTAATTGTTTTTTGAGGAAATTGTGTGCAATTTGATTGTTGTAAAAGTTCCAACAATGAGATCAATTCATTTTTTAATTTCGTATATCAATTTCCAATTTCCATACAGATTTGACTGAACATATGAACATACAACATGGTTGGGATTTGGTCTGCCCATATTTGCATTAATTTTGAAGACACATGTTCTCATTTCCTCTATTGTGGCTTTTACAAAAATAAATGTTCGGTCTAAAGTTTGAATAGAGCCTCTTTTGTTGGTGGGACAAAGCAGTTAAACACTTCCAACACCGAGGCTCCATCATTATGAATGTGGATAGGCAGTTTGGTGTATAAGTAGGTGCATGGAGACAATGATAAAAGATCAAACTTATTCGTTGGCGTTTTGGTATCAATATTTATATCCAAAAGATACTTTTTGATGACATAATAGAGAAAGGTAGTGAAGTAGACCACCTAACGGAGAAATGAGTACAAAAGAAAGGGGGTGCCTTTCAACAGAACCAGTACTGTTATGATGATTGAGGAAAGTGACTATGGATATTCATTTTGGGAATGAGGACATTCTTTTTTTTTTTTTCAGACTATGGATCCTGTTTTATGATTTTGGTCCACTATGAATTGAATTTGAACCCACTTTCTTGGGCTAAATGTTGTGTGGATTATGGATTTAAGGTTGAGTGGGGCAAAATTAATGGACTGACGAGATTCGAGCCTGTTTTATGTTTTTAGGTACTCTATCAATTGAACCCATTGCTTGGGCCATCTTGTTGGGGAAGCTGGAGCTAGTCACAGATCTGACTATCTTGTGGGGTGATTTTTAAGGCCTCCGCTTTAATTTAACATACTTTTTTAACATGTTCTCATAGGTATATATTAAAAGATATAATTAATATATTTTTTAAAATTAATTTATATAAAAGTGTAAGTGTTAATTTTGAATTAGTCAACTAATTAACTAAAATCTCTTACGTAGTAATTGTATTAAAATATATATTAATTTTTATAATTTTTAATGTAAATTAATTAAAAGTATATATTTATTATATTTTTAACTAAATTCTAAGTACACAAATTAGACAAACTCTAAATTTAAATAAATTGATTCTTTAATTTTAAAATAAATAAATGGCAAGCAAAGTGATTTTGGCATGTGGAGTTAAACGCAGAATGTTTAGTCTATAATTTGAAACATTATTAGGGGAAAACATTATCACTGGTCTGGCAACATGACTTGAAAAGGAAATATTCGGTGAAATCAGTATACAAGATCTTACAAGACAATCTCATTCCAGGAAAGATTTGCAATTTTAAGCTGATATGGAACAAATGGGTACCTCTAAAAGTCACAGCTTTTGTTTGGAAAGCACTTCAAGACAGAATCCCAACTAAGGAAAATTTGCTAAAGAGAAGGATAAGAGGCGTGGAGGAAAACAGGTCCTGCACTTCCTGTGAACAGCATGTTGAAAACACAAATCATCTTCTTTTCACCTGCAAAGTGGCATGGCAGATTTGGTCTGAGTGTTATAGCTGGTGGGGCATTACCGTGGTGCAGCAAGATGATGGTTGGAAGCATCTACAACAACATGAAGGTCTACTGTTAAGTGGGAATTCAAGACAAGCATGGCAAGTCATTTGGTTCGCAACTATTTGGGCTCTTTGGACATGGCGGAATCAAAAGGTATTTATGGAAAAATCTGACACGCAAAATAAAATTATAGAGATGATTAAATTTAAATCTTTGCTGTGGTTGAAAGCTTGTTTTTGGTCGGACCTACAAAAGAACGTTTGGCTTCTTTCCCCTGATCAAGCTATTAGGATGGCTAGAAGGTGCTTGCGATAGGCCACTTACTTCACATTTTGGATTATTTCATATGTTTTAGTTTATCAGGGGAGACTAAACTAATAGTTCTCTGATATGTAGTTCTATGCATGTATTTATGGGTTGGAGTACCTTGTACTCCTTATTAATATTATTTTACCTTGGCTGATAAAAAAATAAAAATAAAAATAAAGGGAAAACTTGAGTTTAACTTTATAAAGTAATTCATAAACAAGTTTTGAAAAGAGTTTTAATACATTATAATTCCATTAATTTATGTTACTTTTAATATTAGTAGAAGGATGGTAAAATTAGTCTATTCGTTAGGTCATTTCTTAATATGTTAATAATGGGTTTTTGTCAAAGTTTCATCGAATACATCGAATACAATAGTTTTTAATCTCCTTACCCAATTTGGATGAGTTGGATGGAGAATTCGAGATCATTATCTGATCCTTGGGATCCCTAATATGTACCCTTGTTATTCTTCTTTGGGGATATAAAGAAACAAAGAACTTGAAAAAAGAAATGCAGAGCATTTTAGAGATAAATACTTAGGTTAGTGGGGTAACAAACTAAACCGCCCTTATTAAACAACTAAACTAGATAAGATTAAATATGCATGAGGAGAAGATGTCAGACATTTGTCAGAGAAATTGCGATTAATTATCAATCATATTGGTGGACAAAATGAAAGCAACACTCTCAATTTGAGATTGTTAATTTGGTTAATTATATGATTAAACTGGGAAGAAATGTTCCTGCTTGTGTGGATTTATGGTAATTCCTCATGCTTATGTGTTCATTATAATGCTGCTAATTAATAAAGACCACCACACTACCTACTTGATTTTCAATTCGTTTTTAACAACTCATTTGAGCTTTCCCCACGATCCAACCCTATATCCCACTAAAAAAATGGGCTTAAACTGCCATTTGATGTATAATATAATGTATATGTTTTTGTCAGTTTTGTCACATAAAATGCAACTAAAACCTTGAGATAATGTAAGCATTTTGCATCTAATCTTCTATATTAATTAATTTCTTTCACTTTTTGTTTCATTGACTTTGTTTTGATCTAAAACGATCAAGATGTTCACATGGCGAGAGAAGCAAAACAAAATTCTTGCTTTTTTTTTTTTTTTTTGGTTCATATTAGGCTTAAAGTCACATGATTATGTCTCCTTTGAGACTGGTAATTAAGAGAATGAGATTATAGTTTAATTGACAA